TCCTGGGGCCCTGCTCTCCCACATTAACTCCCCTCCCTCCTTCCTCCTGGAGCAACTGTTCCCGCCCCTTGTCCTGTACTCACCTGTCCAGGTCTCCCTCAGGGCCAGGGCCCCAGAGAGCAGCAGCAGGAGGGGTGGGGCCCCCATACCCCATCCTGGGGTCGGGGTGGTATTTGAGTTCAGTCCAGATGGAGAAAGCCCTGGAAACCCTCCAAATGAGACTCCAGAAGAGCCAAGAATGTGAGAAGGAAATAAAATACAAAGAAAGGGGCAGTTCAGATCCCTGCCCAGTCCTAAAGGAGGGTGGGCTTGGGCTGAGAGAGGGAGTGCTGGGGGACTTTTGGGGGTAACCGCCCTTGCTTCTCAGACTCGAACTGATACAAGGGTTTGGGGAATGTGGAAGGAGACCCTGAAAGAGACAGAGGTGGTGAGAGACCCCCAGGGAGCTGAGAGTGGCAGCCTTTATCTGGATGGTCATTTTGCTCTTTCCCTCCCCGACTTGCCTGGCTCTTTCTGCCCCTCCCCTGGTCACCACCAGGAGGTCCCTTAGATGAATGACAGGCTTTGGGGCCTCAGGGGCCCTGCTTTAGGCCAACCTGGCTGGCAGGGCACTGACCCACTAGTGGAAGGGTAACTTGAGTAAAGTTCCTTTCCATTGAAGGTCCCACACAGTAGAGTATACTTGTATTTACGTGCTGGCAGGCAGAACCCATGTAGAGTAGGTAGGTTTGGAGTCCTCGAGCGCCCCTCATTCTGCCTTACAACGTGCCTGGCTACTGCAGCCAGAGGGTGGATGGTGAGCTTCGTGGGTGGTCCTGGGCCAGGTCAGGACCCCAGTCTTCACCAACAGACCAATACTGAGGGGAAGGCTGGGTATCCCCAAGGATAAGTTTCAACACCCTAGAACCCCACCAGGATACCTGACACTGTGTCCTGTCCCTCCTCTCCTGCACTCAAAGTTTTGTCACACTGTGGCCCCGGGTCCCAGCCAGGGGCCCAGTCAGGGATTCTCAAATGTTTTCTTTTCCAGATCTCTGTACAGTCTCACAAATTAGCGAGGACCCTGAGTAATTTTGTTTATGAGGTTATAGCTATCAAAATTTACTACACTAGAAATACAGCTATTTTTAATGATGTTACTCTTTCATTGAGAATAATATTAACAAGCTAATACATTTAACAGAAAGTGTTTTTAAGAAAAATATTTTGAATGAGAAGAATGGATCTTTTACATTTTATACCTGCAAGTGTCTTCCTTGTCTCAATAGACACATGAATTTTCTTCTGCATTTAATCAGTGGTTTTGGGTGAAGTCTATCAAAAAATATATACAGTCTCACACAAATATATAG